CGCACGTTAGCAGGCGATCACTGTGCTGCTAAAGTACGCCCCCGCCGAGTTTGAGATGGCAAAAAAGAAGAGAAAAAATGGGGGAAAAATTCCTAAATCTTGGATTCAGTGCTTCAAAAACGAATGTGATTCATCCTTTAGACCACTCTGTTGATGGATCGATGGAGGATGATGAAGATTTCTTGAATGTGATGGGGTCAACATGCCCAAAAGGGGAGAAAAAAAGAGGCTAATGGCGGATATTATGTCTAATCCTGTCTCAAGGTCTAGCAAAGCTCAGATCTCTGGTCTAACTCAGCCTCAGGCTCTGGCGATTACTGGTGTCGAAGTTCTTGCTCCTCATCTCTGTAAGTCTCCGAGCTCTCAATCTGGTGTAGGTAGTTCTGGGAAAGGTTCTTGGGCTGATTAGGTTGATTTTGTTATTGATTCATCTCGTCAGCAACTTAATTTGAGCTCAGCTAGGGTTTTAGATACAAATTTGCAGATTTTGAAATCAGTTCTTGAACCTGTTACTGATAAATCAAAATCAATTGAGAAGGAAAATGTTATGCAGAATTTTGTACCAGTTCTTAATCCTGTTACATTGAATTCAAATGGAAAAAGCAATTTAGTTGCTAAGAGATCAGTTATTGATCCTGTTACATCGAATTCAAATGGAAAAAGCAACTTAGTTGTTAAGAGATCAGTTCTTGAACCTGTTACTGATCAATCAAATTCAATTGAGAAGGATTATGATTATGGAAATTCAATAAATTTTTCTGATAATTCAAAAGCTCCTTTGGAATCTATGTTTCCTCATCTTGCTCCTGCACAGAATAGCACTGATAAGAAAAGTTGGGTTAGTCTATTTGCTGATAACAGGAAATCAGGAAGTGGCATGAGTTTGAACTTCGTGTCACTTGAGAATAAGGATTTTGTGACCTTTAATGAAGAAGAGTGGAATGAAGGCAACTCTAATTGGCAATTTTCTTTGATTGGCCAAGTTATGGGATTAAATGCAAAGTTTAAGGCCATGGAGAACTATGTTCAAAAAATCTGGGCTCGATGGACTGTTCCTGAAGTGTGTTTACTTAAACCGGGTTTATTTCTGTTTAAATTCAAAAACAAGGTGGAGATGGGGGATATCCTTGAAAATGGCCCGTGGTTCTTTGGCTCAAGGCCTCTTTTACTGAAGGTCTGGACAAATGATGAGGACTTTGAAAAGATAAATAATAATGTTTATCCTTTGTGGATTCAACTTCCTGGATTAAGACTCAATTTGTGGAGTTCTAAAGCTATAAGTAAAATTGCCAGTCAAGTTGGACGTCCAATTACCACAGATAAACTCACTGCAAACAAGCAAAGATTAACTTATGCAAGGGTCTTAATTGAGATCCAAATACCTTCTCCTCTTCCTGACCAGATTTCTATTCATGGTCCTAATGGGAAAATTTTCAACCAAAAGGTGATTTATGAGCTTAAACCTAAATGGTGTGACAGTTGTAAGCTTGTGGGTCATGACACAAAATTCTGCAAAAAAGTTCCCAGAACTCAAAGATGGGTTCAAAAGGGAAAATCTGTAGTGAATCGGACTATGAATTCTAGTATTCAGGGGATACAAGAAGAGCCTGCTATGCTACAAATTCCTATGACAAATGATCTGAGCAATGTTCAAAACCTACAGGGAAATGTTTCCAGGTTGCTGGGTGGAAGTTCTCTCTCAAACTTGTCTGGTAATAATGTGCATAATGTTTCCAGGTTGTTGGGGGAAAATATAGTTGGTAATAATGAACAGTTTGAGTCTGGTAACAATGTTCCTCAATCTATAAATGAAGTAGTTCAAGGAAAAGAAATTGAGGCTATGATTCAAAACAAACAGGCAAAAGAGAAAAGATTGAGTCCTTCAGCTGCTAACTTTGTGCATGTTGTGCATGTTTAGGGTCTCAGATATGGGGATTCTACTGAAAGTAAGAGCTCATCACATGGAAATGTTTCTAGGTTGCTGGGTGAAAGTTCTCTCTCAAACTTGTCTGGTAACAACGTGCATTATGTTTCCAGGTTACTGGGGGGAAATTTGGTTGGTAGAAATGAGCAGTTTGTGTTTGGCAACAATGTTCCTCAGGCTATAAATGAAGTAGTTCAAGGGGAAAAAATTGAGGCTATGATTCAAAACAAGCAGGCAAAAAGGAAAAGCTTGAGTCCTTCAACTGTTAACTCTGTGCATGTTGTGCATGTTCAGGGTCTCAGATCTGGGGATTCTACTGAAAGCAAGAGCTCATCACAAGCAAGAAATTCATTGTTCTATATGAAAAGAAGTGGTATGAAGGAAATTCCATCTCTGGAAAATTCTTTTGATCATCTTAATAGATTGGAAGAAGACCCCTCAACTAGTGACTAGGGGGGAGGATTTTCTTATGAACTTCTCTTTCTGGAATGTTAGAGGACTGAATAAGTCCACTAAACAATATTTAGTTAAGCTCCATTTAATGCAGCATCAGCTCTCTTTCCTGGCACTTGTTGAGACAAAAATTAAAACTAGATTACTATCAGTCATAGCTAAGAAAATTGCTAGTAGTTGGAAGTGGATTTCAAATGCAGACAACACTAGTAAAGCAAGAATTTTGATTCTATGGGATCCAAATATTCTGGATATTCATGTTGATAGAATCTCTGATCAACAAATTACCTGCATGGTTAAATCATTGGATGGAAGGATTGATTGTGTTATATCCTCTATATATGGTCATAATCTTCAGGACAGTAGGAAATCTCTTTGAGATGAACTATACCAAATTCAGCATTCTGTTGGTAACATGGCATGGATTCTCTGTGGGAATTTTAACGCTATAACTGATGGTAAAGAAAAATTAGGAGGAGCTTTGGTTTCAGAGGCTGAGACAAAAGATTTCAGAGAATTTATTGATAAGTGTCATCTATCCCATATGAAAACTGAAGGATGTTTCTTTACATGGAACAATAAGCAGGATTCAAGTTCTAGGGTCTAGAGTAGACTCGATAGAGCTTTGGTTAATGATGTTTGGATAAACTTATTCAATGCAAGCCATGTGGAATTTCTTCTTCCTAGCTGTTCTGATCACTTTCCAGCGTTGGTGTCAATTTATGAAGATTGTTTACAAGGGAAGAAACCTTTTAAGTTTTTCAAGATGTGGACAAAGCATGAAAATTACTTACCTACAGTTGCAGCTATTTGGCAAACTTCATTTGAAGGCTGTGCAATGTTTTCAGCTGCTAGCAAATTAAAACTCCTAGAGAGTGCACTGAAAGATCTAAACAAAAAGAGCTTCTATAACATCACTGAACAAGTGATTAGAGCACGATTAAATCTGGAAAATGCTCAAAGAAATCTGCAATCTGATCCTCTCAACCTTGAACTGATTAATCTAGAAAAAGATTACATTGCTTCTTTTAACAGATTACTGGAATATGAGTTGTCATTCTATCAACAAAAAGCTATGGAATATTCATGGTGACAGATGCACAAGTTACTTCCATTCAGCTATCAAATCTAAGAGACATCTCAATAGAGTGTTGGTGCTTTATAACAGTGTGGGTAGCAGAATTACTTATGGTAAAGAAATAATTCAAGAGCTTATTTCCTTTTATAAAAGTCTCATGGGCCCTACCACTGTTACATCCATGCCTGATATTAATATAATTTGCTATGGACCTTGCCTAAATGAAGCTCAAGCAAGGAATATGTCCTCTCCTGTTACCAGTGATGAAATTAAAAATTCAGTTTTCTCCATGTCTGACACCAAAGCTCCTGGACCTGATGGGTTTAGCATGTCCTTCTACAAGTCAGCTTGGAATATCATTGGGGATGAGGTAACATTGGCTGTTAAAGATTTCTTCAGAACTGAAAAGCTTTTAGGTGCGATAAATTCTACTTCAATCACCTTGATTCCAAAGGTGAATTGTCCCAGGACCCCATCTGATTTCAGACCTATAGCCTGCTGCAACTGCCTCTACAAGATCATCTTAAGAATACTGGCTAACAGAACCAAACCCATTATGGGATATCTGATAAATGATGCTCAAAGTGCTTTTGTGAAAGGAAGGAAAATTACTAGTAACATATTGCTTGCTCATGAGTTAGTGAAGAATTACAGTAGGAAGAGAATCTCTTCCAGAATTATGCTAAGCATTGACATCAAAAAAGCTTTTGATACAATAAATTGGGATTTCCTCAAAGAAATTCTCAAAGGTCTTGGGTTTCCTACAAAGATGATCACTTGGATTATGGCCTGTGTTTCCTCTCCAAAATTCTCAATTTCTTTAAATGGTTCTCTCCATGGCTATTTCAAAGGGAAAAGAGGATTAAGACAAGGAAACCCCCTCTCCCCTTATTTGTTCATCTTAGGAATGGAGTATCTCTCTAGGAATCTGAATATGCTAAAGGAGGACAGGTTGTTTAAATTTTATCCAAGTTGTGGTAATCTTAAGATCACTCACTTGATCTCTGCGGATGATCTTCTCCTCTTTTCTAAGGCTGACCTACACTCTGTAAGTATGCTCTTCAAATACTTCAAAGATTTTAGCTCTGTTTCAGGCCTAGAGGCAAATCCAGATAAGTGCAAAATCTTCTATGGAGGGGTCGATGAAATTTCAAATCTCTTATAAACAACTTCCTTGGGTTTTCTGAGTGTGCTTTGCCTATCAAATATCTTGGGGTGCCTCTGATATGTAAACGGTTAACATTCTTGGATTGCTCTCCTCTTTCCAAAGTCTCAAGTCAATTTTAGGCTTGTTTAAAAATCAGGAATCTGTCATATGCAGGCAGATTATAGATTATCAAGAGTGTTATCCTTGGTATACAAATTTTTTGGACGTCAAATTATGTCTTGCCAGTTAAAGTTTTACAAAAGATAGATGAGTTGTGCAGAAATTTCTTGTGGGGAAAAACTGAACAGTTACACAATATTCCCCTTGTTTCATAGGGTAAAGTTTGCTTGAGTATGAAACATGGTGGTCTGGGTATTTACTCGGCCTCTACCTGGAATATGGCTTCAGCACTGAAAATCCTTTGGAATATTCATATCAATAAGGAAAACTTGTGGATCAAGTGGATTCATGGCACATATTTAAAACACAATGATGTGTGGCATGTGCAAGCTAGAAAAGGGGATTCATGGATGTGGAGACAAATTCTGAAAGTGAGAGACAAGGCTCAAGGATTATATAGGGGTACTGATAACCTGAAACAACTCATCTTTTCTTGTTCAAAAAATTCAAATATTCGATTATCAGCTTTGTCTTCTGTTCTCTCCCCAACAACAAACTTAGTGCCATGGCATAGCATAGTTTGGGAGAAATTAAACTACCCCAAGCACTCTTTTGTGAGTTGGTTAGCAGTTCAAGATCGATTACTTACTCAAGATAAATTGATCAATAGGGGGATTGTAAACAACAACAATTGCTCTCTGTGCACTGATACTGAAAACAGGAACCATCTCTTCTTTGAGTGCTGTTTCTCAAGGGATGTGTGGATTATGGTTATGGAATGGTTACAATTCAAATGGAAATCTTGCAATTGGGATCAAATCCTGAGCTGGTATAGCGTCAGGTTTAGAGGGAATGGATTCAAACAGAAGATTAAAAAGATAGCTCTAACTTCTACAGTTTATAGCATTTGGTGTGAGAGAAATGCTAGGATTTTTAAGCAAAAGAGAAGAACTGCTGCTCAGCTTTTCAGAGATATAAAAATTAACATCATGTCTATTATCCTCAATGATCACTTTCCAGATGAGATTAGAGAATGGATTTGTTCTCTATGATTGTATTTAGAGGCATGTGAGTCGACTATAGATTGTTGATTGTAATCTCAGTTTATGCTGAGAATATAGATGTACTGATTTTCCATATATGGTAAATGAATAAAGCATTTTCATTGACCAAAAAAAATTTATTACTGTTGATCAGAATTAAATAATTGCTTATCAATTTGGTTATTTAGAATAAATGCAGTTGCGTTCCATTTGTTTTTTTTTCTTTCCTTTCTTCTTAGTGCCTGTTTGGTTCATTTCCTTAAAAAATGGAAAATATAAAGCCATGCTGAAAACCATTTATTACTGTCTGATAAACATTTTTTATTTCCTCAATTTTCTATGTTTGGTAGGCAATAAACATAATGGAAAATGTTGTTTAACATCACTAGGGTGAGCTTACCACCCACAAAAGACAAAAAAAATCTTTTAACATACCAACCTGATTTTGAACTGATGATCCCAACAGTAATATATGACCAACGGTCCAAAAAATAACAATATAAGGTGCAATCTTATAGAGTATATCAAATTACCTGTTAATGTATGATATGATTTGATTAGACAGGTATTTGCTTAATATTATAGTGTAGATGATATACCTTGAAAAATGGGTAATATGATGAATTGTTAAGGATCTCTTGTGCACTACATTCAGTGCTTGTTTCATATATCGGCCTTGAATGCATGAAATAGCTTCTAAGACTCTGTTGAAGTATCTACAAAAGTCTCCCCTGATCTTATAAATTGTATTCTCACAATACGGTTTTTAGATTTATGGCCCAATATATTCAATGTTATTGCAAGCTGCTCTTCTACTGTTATATGCCTCGAGTCCTTTAATAGATTTTTTCCCCTCATAATCTTTGCTAGTTTGATAAAAGCCCCTGATCACATTCTAATAAAGTTTTGATAGCTGTCACTAAAACCGTGATATATACGATTCATAAAATCATCTCTAATTTTTTTTTGCCTTATCATTTCTTCACTTGGATCAGACCGTATTGATCTAGGCATGCACTTTATTCTCCTCAAGAATGTAAATACTAAAACCATGACAGAAAATGTAGCCCCAGCACACATTCCTAAAACAAGCTCTTCATCATCAAAATCACCATCCATCTACAATTATCACTTTTAAATTAAAAAAATATGAGGTTTTTTTTTATATAATTATTACCACATATCAGTTCTTAAACAATATAGTACTAGATTCATATAATCGGTTCTTAAATAATATACATTGCTGAATTTAAAGCACGTAAGTAATTATCAAATTAATTTTCTATTTAAAAAAAAAATCAAAGTAACATGTCAAAATTTTAACCAAATATCATTACTATATAAATGCATTTCAATAATAATGACCAACATTATACAGTTTATCTCCAACGAAAAATATGCATTTATGGGTTCATAAAGGCTATGACGATCATGTCGGATAACATATGGGTGGCATATATTAGGTCAAACCCAATGGGATGCACGTCTTAACAAGGAAAATTACATGATAAAATTAATCCATGAATTTTATCTATCTTTCAATTGTAAACTTTGAAATACATAGCATGCTCGGCACAAAGAAGAAGAAAGGAGAAACACAGTTGTAAAAGATAAGAATACTACACTAGAGAAAACTAAAGAAAGGCAACAAAACCCAATAATTCTTCACAATGTCTCTTCGGCTTAAGTCAACAAAGACAAATACATTTGTATAGAAATATCTTGACACCAAACATTTTATCAACAATTGTTTTCTCCACAGAAATTGGAATTACTCACATGCAAAATCTCGTGAATCTATAACTAAATACCTCCCTCTACGATGGAGGTTCATTTGCATACATCTATAAATGCAGTACACGTCACAAGATCACTATGAATACACCCATAAATTCATAACTCATTCACAAACAGCTATTGGGCAAAACAAAATTGCATGAATAAATACATGATGTACGTGGTCAATGTATGAGAGCCAAGTTAGACAAGCTTTAACAGATGAAGTTTGAATTGGGTAACAAAACTAACAAGAGGAAGTCACCAAGCAGTACATTACAAGATCAAATCTTCCAAAATTATTGATAGTTCATTAAAATATGGCCTAAAATATGACTGAAAGCTAGGAAACTAATATAAAATTTAAGAAGAGAAATTCAGTAGGTTTTCGACGACCGGAGCAACATCGTCACGTGCAGTCTAAGAAAAATTGAAGAGATGGATATGCAGCAGCAAGAAAAATTAAGTGAATTCTCAAAACTAGCGAATCAGATGAATTAGATGAAGTGCTAAGTAGCATAAAAAGATTCGACCTTAAAGCCTCTATCTTTTTAGCAAAATCAGTAACTTCACAAAGTTACTCAGTTTCTCCCCAAAATCAGTATCCTAGCCATTGCTGAGATTTTTCATCATCTACCAAATAAAATTGATTATTACCATCTGACATTAAGGGGTGAAATGGTTTTTTTTTTCTTTGTGATCTATGGTGGCTTCGAGGCTTTGAGAGGGAGAAAGGGGAAAATTATGATAGGAAGGTGGTGAGGAGAACCCTAGGGCATTTTCCCTAGAAAGTTCATGCGGGTTTCAAAAAGGTGAGCGGGACAATATTTTAGTCTTCATTAATTCATTTCTCACTCATTTCAGCCACTTCAAGTCTGATATGGGTTTTCTTCAAAATTTGACGTGGCACCCTATTTCTGAGATAAATTTCCTTAATACCCTCAACGAACCAAACACTGAAAATGGAAATTGAGTGAAATTAAAATCTGATGTGGAGCTCTTGTCAGGTCCTGAGATCTCCATTTCCTCTTTTTTTTTTCAAACAAACAGACCCTTATCCTTTAATCTAAATCCTTTTCCTTCTCTTTTTTCTATACTTTTTTGATTTTATTTTTATTTTTTGGATATCTTCAGACAGATTAGATATACTCCAATAAAGTTGAAAAAGATTTTAGTTTATTTCTTAATAGATAATTAGTATCTGAGGCTCTTCAACTTATAACTACATTATTTGAATTATATATTTGTCTTTACTTGTTATATAAAACTTTAATCAGATGTATTCATAATTACTTCATATCCCAAATGGACAAGAAAATTGGGATAAATTTCTTGATAATTCCTACTATGTTGTTATGTGGACCAATAACGACTCTTTATTTTATAGGCCCATGAAAAATATGTATTTGCAAAAATTATATAACATATGCATTATTATAGGAACCAATGGAACAAGAGATATTAATAATCCATATAACATATCATAGGATTTATGTACAATCAAGAATGTAAAGAATATGAAATCCAAATCAAAATCATAGTGTGGGCTTTAATGTTTTAAGCCCCCTCCACGTCAGCTTTATACTAAAAGCAGATCGTATTTTACAAAAAAACCAAAACTGCCCTTCTCTTTCTTCCCCAGACGAGTCCTGGTCCGAACAACAGAAGTCACTTCTCATTAATGCGATATGATGGGGAAAATGGAGGGAAATTTCCCCCTTTTTTTTACTCCATCTCATGAGCAATAACTAGTTAGTTCTCTATTACTCCTCCTCCTCAGACCAAAAAATTCTCTCTATAACTCTCTCCATCATGAGCAATAACTAGTTAGTTCTCCATTACTCCTCCTCCTCAGATCGAAATGGCTAAAAAGGACATCATCTGCATTGTCTCTTCGCAGTATAAAGCGGTATTCTTGAAGATTAATTCTTCAACCACCATCTTGGATCTCAAGTTTGATGCGGCAGAGAGGTTAGATCTTCCATACGAGTCATTAATTTTGGCATACGAAGATCAAACAGTTGGAAGCTTAAAATTTCTCATTGAGAACGATGGTGATCTGACGTCTATGGTGGAGCATTGCCACAATCTTGGACTGAAAGAGGTTCACGTGCAAGCTTTTAAAGAAGGAGATGATTCTTCGAATAAACAGGAAAACGAGCAAGTCCGACAAGACATGTAGGTTAACTGTAAAATCAATTAACTTAAGTTCTAATCGTCTTCTTGTTAGTTCTATACTAGGTTTAACTGGACTTCAGTTCTAATGTTTTATTTGTCATTAAGCAGTTCTTTGTTATGCTCCATACTAGAGTTCTAATGTTTTATTTGTCAGTTCTAATCGCTATTTTGTTAGTTCTACTAGAGTTATTGCTGGTTCCACTATAGTTCCCATATTGTTAGTCCTAATTGTTATAAATTAGATATAACGTGGTATAAATTAGACAATGTAGGTATAAAATAGAACTAACAAGCCATCAGTTAGAACTGACACTAACACACTACAGATTAGAACTAACACTGTGCATATTATTAGAACTAACACGCTACCGAATAGAACTAACACTGTAGGGGATTAGAACTAACACTCTACAGAATAGAACTAACACTGTGCAGATTAGAACTAACACTCTACAGAATAGAACTAACACTGTGCAGATTAGAACTAACACTCTACAGAATAGAACTAACACTGTGCAGAATAGAACTAACATGTTATAATTTTGAAATAGCTTGTTATAAAATAGAAATAACTTCGTTAAATTAGAACTAACCTTTAATGGCTATATTGTTTGTTCTAATAGCTATTATGTCAGTTCTAATCAATGCACTGTTAGCTCTAATGGTTATATTGTTAGTTCTTTCTAGTTCTAATTGATTCTAACAGCAAGCAATTGTCGTTTTTGCTTTTTATCTTTTGCTATTATCTGTTGATACTTCTACTATTTGTGCAGTTTGAACTCAAAAAGTGTAGACTATGGCCCGTCGGCGTTGTGGACCACAAGTGTTCCAGATAAGAATCCCAATGAAAATCCTTCCGGAGATGATGTCATGACGATTGATGACATGATTAGCAGATCAGAGAGGATTCCTGCTTGGTGGCACACAACTTTAACCGGTGAGGGACAACGATTTGAAAGTGCGAAAGAGTTAAGATTGGCCTTGCTATACTACTCCATGGCAAAAATAATTCGAATACGAGTTTGGGAAGAATGAACCGAAGCGTATTCGAGTGT